GATGCTGTGAAAATCTATATTTTCATCAATTCAAAAATGTCTAATATGTCACTGGTGTAACTGTTATAAATGTGTACATTATATGTAGTTATGTTTTATACTCCAACAGAAATATATGAGTATGTTAAATTCACTCGTATACATGTTGTTACTGACTTGAATGGATACATTTATATTCTTTAAAACTCTACAGCTGCTACTGGTATAAGTGAAATAGAAACATAGAGACTGTTGTAGCTAGTCTTGGTGCTATGTTAAGATGTGTTCACAACCACTTAGCACCGTCTAATTGAGGTCTTAAGTATTGCTGTAGCTCCGCTAATGACAGCCAAACTGATTATAGTGGATCAAACTGCAGGTCTGTATTTATCCTCAAATTATCTAGTTCTTGCCAAGTAATAAAAATTGCCTCTTACTGAACATTTTAAGCGTATTAACGAAAAGAATAAGAAATGCTGGTTTTAATTGTTTCTGTATGGCGATGTTCACTCCCGTTGTACGTGTACACCTGTTCTAGTTCAGTAAGGACAAAATGGTAACTTCTCTGAAGTCTATATTGCTTTAATAATACTATAAGGCAGTGTACTACTTTGAAACCCTTGGATTGATATTTCATTTTGAAATATGATATCTCAATCGATTCACCAGTCTGAGAAAATGCACGTGTGCTACATTGTAGGTAAAACACAAATTTCTATTACAACATGTAGCATGCTCTCGGTTCCGCTTGTAATCAACGCAGCCGCGTCCACCTCCGTGTAATGGGTCATACTACTCCCTGATTCCAATTGTGTCGATAGCTTACATGAAAGGCCCGAAGATTATTGAAGGACCGTCAGATAAACGCGGAATATTTCTTAATTACACTCTGGCAGATTGCGAAAAAGGTTGCTTCATTGGCAGAGATAAATCTCGCGATGTCTATGCGTGCGAGCGTATGTTGTTGGAATACTGATAATGAGGATTGATAGAAATAGATGAACCTCGGGCCAAAAGGCAGCACATGCGTGACACTGCTAGCTATAGTCTAATGACCATATATACGACTTATCCGACTAAAATGCATCCCAAGATCTAGATATACCATGCCTTATAAAATTATAAACACCTGAAAAGTCGAATTAAAGAAGCACCTTCTTTAAATGTTAGTATGTTGATGAAGAAAGGCAAACAAAATGAATAGTTTACTGCACCATATGGCAGTGCGTCTATTGAGGAAATAAGGTTGAAAACCCATGTTTAAAATGTTCTGAAACATGTATAAAAAATAAGTAAAGAAAAAACGTGCCTATAGAATCTCTTAAAACGACACAAATCTAGATAGTTTATTTTTAAACAAGTATTTCAGATATGTTACGCTGATCCTACCTCACCCCATTCCCGATACAAACAGACAATACACACGAGTATATGTATGCATATATTTTCCCACAACTACTAGAGGTTTTCAACCACAAAATGTTTCCTGACTCACGACTCATTGAATAAACCTGCTAGCAGTTGCTAACCATTTTTGGTTTCCCACTAGTTGGGTAGCACCCAAGATGTTATTTGATTGGTCATTCTTTCAACTATAATGTCAAGAAATAATGCGATTTCATCATAGCTCATTTCCAAATTGTTTCCCCAATTGGACCCAGGAAAAAGGTATTCAATATTGTTTTTTTTATATAATATCAAACTAAGATAAACATAGCCAACTGTAACTCGTCGGGGAACATGTATGTATCTATTGCGAGCTGGAACCAACACTTCCATCATCACGGACTGACATCGACCGCAGACTAAGCATGTAAGGTTGATCCGAGTCCACCAATATCCAAAGATAACGAGCCTAGACCTAATAGGATCCAACTATAAAAACAGATATACACGGAAAAAAGATACATATGGCTACATCAAACATCACCCTTTTATACACAGACAAAATACATAACTATAAATCATCAAAATCGCATCAGATTCAGACAGTCATATGTGTTCTCAAATTACCAGTACAATCCAGCTTATAATACATTTGCCTGCCCTTGAAGATGGGAAACTTTCCAATTAGAATAGATAGCACTGATACATTATAGCACAACAAACATACTATTATTAAGACAAATCGTCAATACAGAGTTATAGGAACCGTTTTCTATTATGTTTCTAAATGAATTTGTAATAAAGGTTGACATGTCCACTAAAAGAGATTCGTAGCAAAAGACAATAAACTAGATGAAATAGAACCCCCATAGCACAGAAAGTCATATTCATAAAATGGTTTCAAGTCATCTGGTGATTCATACAGCCTAATTTCGATTGGTCTCCTTGATGGATTGTGGAGGCTCCTCTGTCGACAGCAAAAAGTGTAGTTATCTAAGGCGGCGTTGGATTAGACGTAGGGAAGATAGCAAGAGAAAATACGCCCCTTGGGGATAGATAGAAGTGGGGTGTATGTCAGACTCATTTGAAATATGTGCAAGACATTCGTAAGCCCAATCATTCACGTTAGCGTAAGGGGAAGGCAATTTGGAGTGAGAGTTAGAACAAAATTCAGTGATCGAATACAGCATCGATGTTTTATAAACGAGTATTTTTATGTTTTGGAATCGTGGTATTTATTTCTACCTGATGTTGTATGCGATAGAGGTGGCTATTGTATTGTTTGTTCACCGCTATGCTGGAATATCTGGTGATTCTAAAGTAAGCATGTAGTATAAGGAACTTACATTATAGAAAATCGTTACTGTTATTGAAAGATAAAGCATACTCCTATCGTAGTAAATTTTGTATTCTTTGTTTCGAAGCTCAAACAGTGGGTATACGATATTTGTGAGGAACGTTGCCAATCCCGCACCGTTCTTTGCGCATTAGAGTAGTATTTTGGGTGATGTTAAGTGGAATTTATTATGTAGCAAGCCATAGTATCACCAACGCGAGAATGCTTTAAGCTTGTTTTAATCATCCACTATATTTAGCAATGTTTATGTAAACCTCATATATTACATTGGTAATTATTATGTACATACCGCAGTTACATGGAAGTTGTATGATATGTACGAACAGTTGTATTTTCACTTCAAACTATAATAAAACTATAGAGAAAAACGTCTGTTTGAGTTGATACACTGAACCAAAGAACTATAAAGTCACATGGACATCTTTGGTATTGATCAAACTATTTTGAGGAAGGACAGCATGGAAAGGCTTCACATGTCTGGGGCGATGAGGATCTGAACACCAAGGACTAAATTAATACATTGAACACAGGGAACACAGAGAGGCCACTGGTACACTACTGTAACATTGTAAAATAGGAATGGCATGATACATCCGTAACTAAAATTATGTTACGTATCAGTTGCCATGATATCAAGATATCAATATATGAAATGTCTCCAAACTATTTTTAACAAAACGTGAATGTTAACTATATTTAGCTTGACCAAGTTACCTATTACACAAGTATATCTTGCTACTCAAAACAAAACAAAAAGACAAAAAAAAAAAGACGGGGCAGCTTTCGGACTTACCTTAAGATAGTCCATCATAGTTCATGTTATGTCTTATTATTGTCCTTCATGCTGTGTATAAAGAGGTGTTTAAATCCTCAAATATCCTTTTAATTTGTGGTGTCACCTTCTACTTCAGGAAAATAGCAACGCACCTGTTCACATTAAGTTTATTTATGACTTTGTGTGTGTAGCGGTATGTGAACGGTGTGAGGATCAATAATAACACAATCACTCAAATTAGTGTTACCGGCCTGTAGCAGGCAAGTGTATAGTTATTTTTACACTTAATATCAACTAATAATGCAGATATAAGTATGTGTTTTATTACTTATATGAACCGATCACGCAGACAGCCTACAAATAATATATTTATGTCACGAATTACCATATTCATGTCTGGAATAAAACAAACCAAACAGACTTATTTAGTTAATTCACGCCTATCATTCAGGTTTGTTACAAACATAAATAAAAGTTGAATACTCTTGGAATTATCATTGTATTAAGAATAACAGGTGGTGTCTGTTTGACTGACATCGCAGGATGAATGGGGCTGATTGTGTGGTTGTGTAGTGATAAGGTTTATGAGTGTGTTATTCAAGCCGATTACTCTGCCAGCTATCTAGTGTTATGCTATGTGTATTCGATGTCCAGTTGACGAAACGGTTGCCCCAACTCGCCTGCATTATAGATGCTCGGCATTATCGTGCAAGTTCCACGACCCGATGCAAGGAGACATATGTAGACGGCACAACCGTCCAAAAGTCTCAAAATGGCGGATATTACACAAACTTAGCACATGGCACTCTTTAACCTTGACGGTTATGTTTGACCTTGGTATTATCGTATCCGTTTTTGAAATCATTAAAAACAAATAATTCACACACAATTCCTTGATATTAAAAAAGACCAAGTGTATACACATAGGATAAAGAAACCGTTTGTTTAAAATACATTATAAGACAATTGTAAAAGTAAAAGCAGCTTTGGCACCCTAATATGCTAACAGCAGACGCCGAGGTAGGAATACTGACATGATCTCGTTATCAAGCCAAAACGTGAGAAAGCCATTCGGTAAAACATTTATCACGATAGATAACATGTGTCTCAAAAGAATGCCATTCCCTTCTCTGTTGTATGTTAGTTGTCTATTTACTTTCAACTTGTAATATCAATGACAATATGGAATCAAGTCAAACTCGCTTAGCCTTACCCGGAAGTAAACTTAGCAATGCAGCATTATTCAAGTAGAATGTGTTTACAATTTCAAACAATATCACATCATAACGGGAATATAACAAACATGTAGATATCGGGGTTATCAGTTGATATATTCAATATGAAATGAACAAAATACAATTCCAACATCATTTATATATCTTCATATTTATAGTGAACATGGGAATCCAGAAAATAAGTTCGGCATTCTTTAAACCGTTATGAAGATAACTAACGATTAAACATGATTTAAAAATAGCAGAGGCATTCCACCAAACGACTTACCTGTACAGTTAGAGTTGGTGTTCCGCTACATTCCTATATAGTCCAGTAACTATGTGTAGTTCCACGAACAGTAAGCATGCAAATAAGTGGGGATGCTTCGCCACTCCAACACCGATCCATGTTGACTTACATCAGCTGATGAATTGGAAAACATTATAAAGGTAGGCAATTAAACTCTACTGTGAACAGGGATTTATATATAAATATAGGAAATACAGTATAAAACATTCTGGCATATTCCGAAGATCCTCCGTATGAGTGCGTTGATAGGAGTCCCTAGGTCCAGAGGCTAGTCTGGCCTTATCTAAGCACAGATCCTGACCTACAGACTACTTATCGTATGACCGGTACTAGCCAAATGTTTAATGGAGGTAGAATTCATGTCAGAAATGTGTAGCTCAATACATCGCTTCTCTCACCGTGCTTTGCCTATGTGGATATCTGCTACTGAGGCATTTCGATTCCCATTTAAATATTCTTTATTCTTTCACTTCAGTATATTTCACATGTAGCACAAGTTGTCGTCTGGTACAATAACTCATCGTTGAGATATAAAGTTAACGCTTGTCTACTCTTGGGATATTTTCTTCCACAGAAAAAGCCCTTTCTGATTTGAAGGGCATCAGGGGAGCTCATACACACCGGCGTGACAGGTGAATTCCCCCTTCACACTACCAGTGTGCATATTAACACGTCATCTCAAACCCACTCACAAATAGTATATTCATATTGTCAGAAATATTTGTAAAAAAATCCAGCATTGCCTGTTATAGACAAAAAGTGATTAGCCACTTGAAAATTTCAAAATCAACACATCAAATCACATCTAATTACCAAGTCAAATCCGTAGAAAACAGGATCTCTGGCGTTTCAGTCATAAATATAACAGTGCTGGCTCCAGTAAGAACGATTCCTTTTCCTCTGCACAGACCAGTAGCAGAAGGTTTATGCTATGGAGATGCTGTATAATAATACCAAACTTCATGCCATCAACATCCGTTTAAGAGTTTTTACAGCTAGCTATAGCTCAAGGCAACTTTTCGCTTCGGCGACTCTGATCATACACAGTGACGTTGCAGTGCAGTCTGTACCGAGTATAGGCAATATAATCTCAGTGTCAACGAATGGTGGGGGAACACGATCAATAAGCATAGGAAAGAAACAGGAATGGGGATGCTTACTTAATATTCTCATTTCATGTTTACAAGCAGTTATGCACTGTCGTATAGTATAATATATGTTGATACAGTGTGCAGAAGTATTGATCATTGTGTTGCACATATTAGGTGTCTAAATATAGTCATTATGGATTTTGGAAGAACATGTTTCTTGTTTGGAGATTGTGTTATATTCTTTGTAACAGTGAGGAATAGCGTGCCTACAATGGTAATAAATAGCATACAATGGAACTGAAATCTAATTTATCATTGGCTAATGTGGTGATCCGATCTATTACCTCCCCTTTATTATTGAAACCATGACGTCAGCAAAGGAGTTTACAAAGAGAGGCCCTGTAGCTGCTAATGAGACTTTTCTATGCTCCATGTTGAAATTGCAAATGTGTCCATGCATACCCATATTGCTGTTATCATTACATCACAAGGGCATTGAACGTTAACAGAATGTATTTGTATTTGGAGATTAAAATATCGGGTACATACAGGGAAAAGTTTTTTAATAACCTGACGGCAGAATGGAATATTTTCATGGAAATATATTTTGGCAGTTGGACGGTCGACATCTAGATTGGTAACATTTAAAAATGACAAGATTTCATAAGCGTCATAAAAAGAGCATAAGAAGCAATATGGCTTTTTGCCTGGCCGTTGTCTGCTAATATTATAAATATTTTGGTAGCTATGATGTTTAATTAATTTAGGTAATTATTTATATGTAAATTGTCGGGATATCTAGCCTAGACCTACCTAATCACCGTTATAATGGTCATTAAATTGTTAGGGTTAAATATCACCAAACAATTGTTTAACATCTGGTTTTATAAAACATATAGATTCGCAAGCATATTTGATCGCTAGATTAAACCAACTATTTCGGTAACTTAAATATCATTAAGATAATATCAAATATGACCCAACTGTTTAATATCATAACTTTAGGAACATTCTGGTAGCAAAAGAAAATAAACACGATCAATGGTTATCATCATGTTGTTGAAATAATGCCGAACACACTCATGCACGTGCTAAATATTTACCCATGTTGTGACTGAGCTCTCACAGCAGTGAGATCAGGGAGTGCACGTGGCATCTTTCAAGACTAGTTTACATAGAAAGCTACTCCACATGAATAGTAACGTATCCGCATCTATCACACTATTAAGAAATACATCCTGACAATATGTCGTTTACTGATAACCAAACACAGAGTGAGATTAACTAACCTGAAGTCTTTGAAGTGTAGTAATTCGTTACTCATGTATGGATTACTACCCAAAGTGCAGCAAATGTGAAATGCCTCTTAAGTAATACATGTGATGCATTCATACTTATTCCATACCTATATTCCATACATTTTACTCACGAGTCAAAAATCCATCCATAATAGTAATATACGTGTAAATGTAAAAGGTACATCTTTAAATATGCATATTAAATGCACAAAATGAACAATGGCATTGATGGGGCTTATTGCACTGATGGACGGACAGACAGCCGTATTAACATAACAGTACGTACGGTTGTTAGGTGTACTCTTTCATATCTTGTGATAGATATAGCTGAGGAGACAGGAGATATATAGGTCAGGGCTTGGAGCAAGTGTAGCGACTCTGAAGACCGCCAACATCTACTTTCGAGGGAATAAAGATTATGATGCTTAAGATATCGAGAGACGGTAGTTACTTGTGACCCAAATACACAGTAGTAATGATAGATCATTACTTTTGTTAAACTCGTTTTGAAACCTTAGATGATAATCGTTCATAAAAGGATTTACTTTATCAGCCAGGATACAGTTATCATCAGAACGCTATCAACATTCAATAACAAACACTTAGTCTCTTTTCGTTTCATTTAAAAGCACACTGGATTAATATGAACTTTCTTGATTCACATGCACTCTACTGAACTAGAACATGGGCGTTCTGCATTTATGTGTAGCCCGGTGATTTAGCATCAATGACGCCACAATGTTATCCTCTGAACTAAACTGATGCCAATGAACTAACATTTGGCTCACTGAACTAGCATGTAACTTCATGGAAAATCATGTTTACCACTGCACCACATGTAACACGATCCCCACTGATCAAGCATGTAGCCCATTGAGTTCAAGCCGAGAGTTAGCTCACTAAACAAAAGTAACATGAAGTAACATCTGTAAATAATAAGTACAATATTCAGAACCATGCAAACTGCTGATTCTGATTCGTCAACATAATCTTTACCAACTATGTTATTCGCTAGAAAAACGAATTAATTTGAACAACCTAACGTATAATTTATATATCATTTTTCAACAAGAAACGGTCAAAATTAACAAATGTGGAATCGGCTGGACCGAACGATACTGAAAAAGTCGAAATATGCCCAGTTACGTTATGCAAAGGACAGCCGGTGGCATAAGTAGAATGGAACAACATCCCAATACGAAAAAGCAATGCTCTCATTAATTCTATACTCAAACGACTACGAGCATCGATCAGGACACGTGGGGGACACATCGGGTATTTTGATTTCGATGGCAGATAAGAACCAAATGCCAAAGTATGTTTTGACGTTATGCTAAATGCCTCTTCGGAATCGTTTTACCCAATCATCTGTAAATGAAGCTGTACGTGGGTCTTATGTTTAGTTTATATTTCGTATAACCCTTAGAAATATACACGGATAATTAGACCAGGTGTTCCGGGAGGAACGCGTCTTCTGTTTTATCGACGACATCTGCCATGCAAGCTTAGATAAAATTCAAGAACATATTACGAAATTCAATTGATTCTGGTACAGTAGCATGTGCACCACTTTCTCAAGGATTGAAGGGCAAGTTTGCAATGTTCATAGCGGTATGAACGCTAATCGATTACATAGATATTCAGCAAGGGTTAATTTATGTGTTTGAAACAAATATTCTCATCGAAATAGTCTCTTTAAAATAAACATCGCTAATTGGACATAGATTATTATAGAATGAAAAACATCGATGTCCGTACTAAACAAAAAATAATTATGTGGTGAACACAGTACTTTATCAAAATTTAATGACTCATTAATGACTTAATTTTGTGCGGTACACAAGACCTGAGTCTAAACAAGTCAACACAAAGGAACAAGAATCTAGACTAAGGAGACCAAACCAGGAACAACACAACAGATACATATACAGTCGTCTGAGAGGGTTCAGAACACTGCAGCACGGCTAGTTACTCGTGCTCGAAAGAGAGAGCACATCACACCTGCGCTGTATTCGTTGCACTGGTTAACTGTACGATACAGGTCGCAGTACAAACTTCTGGTATACACATACAAGGCACTGAATGGAACAGCTCCTCAGTACCTACAGGAAGTTGTTACCCTGTATCAGCCGTCAAGATCACTGCCCTCGGAGTAAGAATCTTTGTTGTGTGTCCAAAATCTCGTACTGTGACCTACGGAAACAGATGCTTTGGGAGGGGTTCGGCTGCGTTGTGGAATAGCTTACCATCTGCTATTAGGAAGTCAAATACCCTGGCCAAGTTCAAGAGAGACATACAAACTCACCTCTTCACGTCTGCATTTTAGAATCTTTGCAAAGACGTCATGTAAATACCACCCTTTTATTTGTTCAATTATGTGCACATTGCTTGTTAAATGTATGAAAGTGATTGCACGCCTTTGTTGTTTGTTTTCACAATTATAACCATTACTATTATCCATATGTTGTAAAGCGCCTTAGAGTAATTTTACAAATTATATAGGGCACTATATAAATGCTGTATATTATTATTATTATAGTATCATGAACTCTCAGTGAATACTCAAGAGTAAATACGTCAGACAAGATGTCGGGGAAGGCAAGCGTTATGCATAACACATGTGTCAACATCCTCTATCCCATCCAGTTAATTTAGATTACAATTTTGCTTGAAATATTTGAAACGGCATTTTGAGGATTGCATTCACTACTCTGTTAAAAAGGGATCTATTGGCATAGTAACATGGATACGACCCGACATAATGCTATCCGAGAAACTGGTATCACTGTATAAAACACTCGGTATGTGATACGACCGGACATAATGCTAGCCTAGACACTGTTATCACTTTATAAAACACTCGGTATGTGATACGACCCGACATAATGCTATCCGAGACACTGTTATCACTGTATAAAATACTCGGTATGTGATACGACCCGACATAATGCTATCTGAGACACTGTTATCACTTTATAAAACACTCGGTATGTGATACGACCCGACATAATGCTATCCGATACACTGTTATCACTTTATAAAACACTCGGTATGTGATTAATTGGTAACAGAACGCATCTCTCAAAAAATAGTCAAATTTATATCAATCTATAGGGTTACAAATCAATTGTGACATGGAAATTCCATTGCACTACTACAGGAGGATGTCTGTATAGGATTGGGGCTGTATATACATGTCTGATCCTTGAGAACAACGGACACCTTATTTTGATAATCCTGAAGTCAACACAACGTAAAAATGTGTTTCTCTTATTCAAAAAAAGGATATCTATTGAATAACGTTCTGAATCCAATACACTAAGATCAAAATAGAGCTACGTGTATCTTTGAAATCGATACAATCTAATCAGCGCACAGTATTGTTAAAGTTAGCTTTGCACACCATTCTCTTTATGTATAGATCGTCCAGTATGCATGCCAACTGCATTACAGGTTCAATGCAAAGCATGCACTTTATTTTCATCTAATGAGTCAGTATTCATCATGCTAATGATTGA